AAGGAGGTTATTGTACTTTATTAAAAGTTAATGTACTTTATTGAAAAGTTCACAGCAATCTACTTTGGGAACTATTTGTAGTTGTGGGTGATTTCCTCATACAATAGTTGTGACACTTAGTTGCATGGGACCTGGTTTGTTCTGGTTCACAGGACGGTTATGGGAGCATGGTACACCGCTCATTGGGTATCGGGTACGAGGGGGTAGCTTATACTGTGCGCTAGGGTGCGTGGTATGCTTTAGGTTCGGTTCTTAAATGTAGGAATTAGAGGTTTTGCAAGAGTCAAATTTAAGAAATATGCTAGTTGAAATCAGTAATGGTTAAAAAAAACTGTGAGAAGCATGTTGCAATGAGGCATAGATACTTTATTTGATTAATATCTCGTGCTTTTTGTTCTTTATTCTTTAAAAAAGAGTTTTTTTTATAAAAATTTAACTGGTTTGAATTCTAAATTGGGTCGCTGGAGTTGATGAATCGGGTTGTTTTCCATGGGAATCTGGGACGATTGAACCTGGGTCGTGATTGGCTATAGCATCCCAAGTTCCTGACTTCTATGGATTGACACATGACTTAGTTGCAGATGGCCTCAATAGTTCAGCAAAAAAGTAGGGGAAAGTTCATGGTACATTATTGTATTTTTTAGAGTTCATGGTATTTAAGTAATAAAACCAGTTAAAAGGCCATGGTAGTTCAATCTAATTTAGCCTTCCTTTAAACCCTTTTGTGGGGCTTTAAACTGGCATGAGTTTCTACAACATGCTATAGGGAATGGAACTGCAGCGTCATCACTGTCTAGTATATTTTTTCCACTTCTGCTCCTTGATAAACTCCTGAATCTAGTATAGTCGAATTCAATCAGTTTCTTTTCATTGCTACCATCAACTAACCATAAGCATGCTTCTCTCTGTAGTCGAAAATATGTTTAGGTCTCAAATAGACCCTTTTATGTGAAAAACATGTTTTAGACAAACTCATGACCATAGGATAGGTCAATTAACTTAATTGCTGTCTAATTATATCTACTTGGTCCAATTTGGTAGTTTTTGAGAATTATGAACTTTAGGTATATCTAGTTCATCAAACAATAATCTTAAGATAATGATTCAGAGAGATGCAGTTGCCCCCCAAAATGGATTTGTAACATTTCAAACTCATTTACATCCTTTTTCTTAGCACAGCTCATAGGAGGGGAAATCGTGTTTTGCATTGTGTAAAAGCTATCAAAAACATATACTTTTCGAACTGCTAGAAATCAACTAACATTCATGTAGTTACTCTTACTTTTGATTGCTGTGTACATGGGAATACTTAAGATTTCTGCACCTTTAGTACTCTTCATCAGACATTTCTAATATATCGTTAAACTGAGGTGATTGCTAGGTAGAACTGAAAAAGCCCAATCAAGCAAGGTGCATGCAACACACTTAATTTCTTACATATCACAGAAGTGCCAATATATGATTAAATGCCAATTTTATGCTTTCAGCTAATTTATTGCTTTGCAGATTCATATTTCTTCAAGATGCTGTTTTTGTTGGAACTTATTCATGTTATATGTTTCTTTGCACAGTAAACCACGGTGGAGACTCGGAAACAAAGAGCTATCACAGTTATGGAAATGGGCAGATCAGAATCCTGTATGTGACAAATTTCATTTGCTTTTGTATGTTCATTAAATAACTTCTTATTGACAGTTCTTTTTCTTAAATTGTTTGATAAATTACCATGTTTTTTGTTCATGTTATTCTTGTTTACGTATTACTGCACAGCTCATCCTTCATAGCTATGATGTTCAGCTGTTAAGTCATAAGTGTTTACAATTATCATCTCCAAGGAAATCCGGTCAAAGTTGCATGTTCTTCTTGAATAATAATAATGGGAGAGGTTTGCATGCTACCAAGCCATGTGTGGTTTCCTAAGTTGCATGGAAATGGGTACGGGTACAGGTACGAGTGCGGTAAGGGTACGGAACTCGGCAAAACTGTAAAATGTAGGGTACGGGGACACGGCTACCTATATATATTGAGTTAATAATGTATATGAGATAATTTTTTCTGCTTCATGAATCATGTGTCATTAGAATTAAAATTCCAATCACATTTTTAAGTTTCTTTTATCATATTGATATCATAAATTGGAAACTACTCATTTTTTTACTAGACATCCAAATGACCCATTAACTATATAGTTTTAAACTTGGGTATGGACTGAAATGAACCCGACCCATATCTAACTAGTTTTAAGAAACGGATGTGAAGTGTAAGCTATACATCTAGGAAGTCTTTGCCAAGTGTTTTAATTAACACATATATCGTATAATTGAGTACATGTTGTAATAAATGCATGCATATATCCAAGAAGTGTCCATGAAGTTTGGATACATGAAAGTATTGGGTACGTGCCCGAGACGGGTACGGCTTCATCATAGAAGTACCCAGGGAACATAGGTGGTTTCATACTCATACAATAATGCATAGGATAACATATAGAAGTTTTACGCTCTTACATGCATGCTCAGAGTTCGTCATTTGGGCATGTGATGGAGAAGTTTTCAAACTTAAGCATGTAGTATTACTTTCATAGTAGAGTACAACATTTCAGAATAACATTCTATGTAGCAAAATATCATATACTATGTAGTATATCGCTGGCCTTATTCCATGTAGCACAGTCAGACAAAAGCTTATGCACTGCGTTATTTGAGGAGGCAAACAAATTTTTTTTTTTTCGCCCTTCTGCCTCCTTGATTAAAAGGGTCGCATAGAAGAAAACCCCAACAAGGCTGGGGAATGAGTACCTTTGGCAACTACAACCTCCAACAGCTATCTGGCAGTCCACGTTGATGCTTAGCAGCACCTGAAAGTCCTAGGTGACTCATGTCCACCTATTATTTCTTGATTCTAAGGTGATTTTTGAAGCAATTTCTTCTTTAAGGGCTAGGCCGAGGTTGAGGCTAGCATCTGAGATCGACGGCAAATGAAACTCTTGAGTGATTGACAACGAGTTAGATTCATATCTTCGTTTTTCTTATTTTTCTGGTTTGTTTGATGTGAGTTTGTGCTATTAAGGAATGGGAGGTGTGATTGTTTTGATGACTTTTTGCTGGAGTGTATGTGTGGTGAATTTTTTCAGCTAATTTGGATTAATAGATGGTTTTGAATTTGTTGATTATAGTCCAGAGGATATTGATGGTGGTGCTAGTGGGATCTCTTCATCAATGCTATTACTTGTTTTTTTTACTTTATTTATATGTTTAAGTAAGGTTCTTATTCATTACACGGTTGGGATAAATAGTTTATGTTTTATATTAAAAATAATAAACCTTGTTGCAGATGCTTTACACTTATGGTTTGATAATTTATTCTAAACTATTGATACACATTCCACTGGTAATGTTCTAACCTTAAATTTATTGTGAATCCAGAATGCTTTGACTGATGAACAGCGTGTCCGCACTCCTTCGGTCATGGAGTACTGGAAACCTCTTGCAGAGGATGTATGAAACTCAGAGACCCCTTTTACCTGTTATCAATATGATTAGATTCAGATTAGATTCGGTTTACTACTTATCTTCTGCTTGATTTTCTTCTTAAGGAGGTCTCTGTTTCACTTGGAGGAATATGGATATTTTCATTGTCTGTTTATAAGTTCATTTGATGTTTTGACACTCAACTAATCTCTTGGATTACAGATGGATGAATCTGCTGGGATTGAAGCTGAATATCACCAAAAAAATAACCGTGTAAGTTCAGTTTCAGAGTCCAGTAATGCACCATCTTATGATCCTGGTGGCTCAAGTCACCATGCTTCGTTCCACTTTCAGAAAAGGGGATACTGTTTCATTGTTATTTCCTGCATATGCATTATTTATCCTTCTAAAGTAAACATGTCTCCTTTGCTTGTTGTAGGCTGGCTCCTATATGCTTGCCATCTCTTTCCTGCATGCTTATAAACCTTAATTTTTGAAACATTTCAATACCCTTTCTCACGGTTTGCTTTGTACCCTCTGAGCTTCAGGTTTATTGTTGGAAAGGGCTGCGTTTTTCTGCCAGACAGGACTTGGAAGGATTTTCTCGGGTATGTTTCGCCTCTTGGTTGTTATGAATCCTCCTTAAATATAAAAGATCATCGGAGTTTAACTTTTTTTTTTGCAGTTTACTGACCATGGCATTGAAGGAGTGGTTCCTCCAGAGCTTTTGCCACCAGAAATTCGTTCGAAATTTCATGCTAAACCTACTGAGAAGAATAAACGAGTTAAGAGAGAGGATGATTCAAAAGGTGTTGCAGCTCAGCCTGAAGAAAACCAGGTAACTGAAGTAAAATAACATGAAGTAACTTTTATTGATTTCTTATGTTGATGCAGTTCCATTAGTCAGATGAGTTTTGAATCTTCCTGATTACTGTTCTTGTGTGAAGTAGTTTTCCTTTTTGCTTGTAATCTATATTAGATATGAATTGCATTTTCCTATCACAAAACTCATCTGACCCTATTAATTGGACTTTTTACTTCATTGAGAAATTTTTGTGTGCTGCTTTTTGTGTTAATGATTGCACTGCTTGACAATAAATAAGGCTCTAGTCTGTTGCCCATCTCCTGGTAATATTTTCCTGATCCGAGAACCTTGCACCAAAACTTATCGGACCAATTTGACAACTCACAGGGTTTTGGTTGGTTCTCGTTTGATAACTGTAATGAGATCGAAGGGAAGAATAGGGTTCATGTATCCCAGATATTCGGATGAAGTCATGGTCGTTATTGTCGTTGGTGGTGCCTTCTACTCAAAAATATTTTTGAGTAAGGACTAGAGGTATAGGCGTAAGAGAACTTGATTGGAAGCAATTAAGTATGATAACGATTAACTTAATAGAGGAAATAACTATAATCAAGGCGAAATGGAAGAGTAGGATTCATGAAAAAAAATTCGGATAATGACTTTGGTGTAGAAATGCCTTCGACTCAAAAATGTCTTTTGTTTCGTTACACAGCAGGTTGCAACTCCAGCAACTGAGACTGATGGGGGAAGTGGGGCCGAGCTAGAAGAGGGAGCAATTCCAATGGAATCTGATGCCGCAGGCTTGAATATTGCGCAGGGTGGAGATACAACACCAGAAGATGCTACAAAGCAGAGCCCTGATATTGACATGGGCCAGGAGGCAGTACATTCTGAAGCTGAAGCTGAAGCAGAAGCAGATGCAGAAGCAGATGCAGAAGCAGAAGCTGAAGCTGAGGCCAAACCTGATATTAAAGGAGATACTGAATCAGAGCTTAGTCCAGATTCAGAAACAAATCCTGAGACTAAAGATTGAAGCTTCAGGGGAAATTATTTATCTCTAGCGGATGAAACTAAAAGATGAAATTTTTCAGTGCAGCAGTGCCTTATTATGTGTAATTTAACACTGTATGCTTATGATTGCTGCATATGTAATCTTGTTTGTAATGTTTATTTGAGTAAGCTGGCTTTTTCTATGTTGAAAACTGTCCAAGAGTGTCTAGTATCATCGTTTCAGTTTGCTGATTTGCATAGTTGAGAATCTTTTTATTCCTATTCAGGAAGAAGACATGAGATTGTAATTCATGTTTTATGTTTTCGGGTGAACTCAAGTCTTGCGGCTGTGGCTTAAAAGACCAATGGTCGATCCGTGTTTATGACATATACGAATTCCTAATTTCTAATTATTAGGTATTGCAACATTGTGCTACTCACATGGGTCTGATGGTGGGAGGAGGGGCTCCAGACCTCTCGGTTGGTACTAAGCCAAGGTTCCTCGTGCCCAAAAGTAGTCAGCAGAAAGTATCTTAGTTGCAACTGATGACGCAAGTGGCAACAAGCCATCGAGCGTAAGACGCTACTGTGCCCACAATATTTTGGAATAATAATAACGTTATAAATCAAATTTATACTCTATTTGATTCTGAATCTTCTAAATTTTATACTATAAGGACTATGTCCTTACAACTAACATAAGGTATTAAAATGCTACTTTCTTACAATTCAGGTATTAAAGTTGATACTTTTTACAACTTAGAATATTATATTATAAAGGTGACGAAACAATAGGATATTTAAGTGCTAGTTTTACAATCAAGGTATTAAAGTGCTACTTTTTACGATTTAGATTATTAAATTGGTATTTTTTACAACTTAAAGAGTATTTAAGTGTAAAAGTGGTGAAACAATAGGGCACCTAAGTGCCATTTATTCTTGAATTAAATAACAAACACACCCTCACTCTAAAAAAAAAGGGATAAGGGAGGTATAAAAATACATCGTGGGAGAATGTAGGGTTGAATTGGCAATTATGCACATGTGGGAGGTCCGTATACAAATAGGGTGGCTTTGGGGGGTTTTATACGCACAAAAAAAAAAAAAAAGCCATTCCAAAATGACCATCAAGTCCCCAGCGTTTGCAGATAACAGAAGGGAGAGCCAGCATGCATCTTAGTTCAGTAATGGCGATGAGGGCCACCAGCTGCGGCGGTAACGTCCACCGCGGCGCATTTCTATTCGCTGCACCACCGCCTATCAGCACCCACCGCCAAAATAAAAAAGGTGCCTTTTTTGCCCCTAAAAACCTCTCTTTGTTTCCCTCCTTAAATTGGGAGAAGAGGCGGAGTAGGATAATCGGATGCTGTCCTCGAGTACATCGAGTTGAAGGAGAAGCTATTGAAGAGCTGGAGGAATTCTTGGTTGTTAGCTTTTATAAGTTCGTGCTTATCAAAGACCCAGAAGCCGAGGTCTCAAAACATCAAGCTTTTCTTGAGGTAGTCTTTTTTCCCCCTAATTTCCAAAAAAAAAAAGTATTCTGTGGAGTGGGCAAATTTATTAGTACTGCATTAACCCATGCTTGTGTATTGCAATGAAAATTTCCGAAAAGTCGGATTTTTTTTAGTGCACCCATCATGAATTCTCAATGGCATTGAAAGGAAATAGTTGGAGAACCTTAATATGATATTGCCAAGTAACAAGAGTTGGAGGTGAATGAGGAGGTCAAAAGGATAACTGAAGTGACGAGGGTATGTATGTCATTGAGATTAGCAAATGTGTGAAAATTCTAAGTTAGAGAAAGTGCTGAGAGTTTTATTATGATATTTCATTCTTTCTTCTTTTATGTAAATATGATAATTTTATATAAAAAGGCAGAACTATAAGTAACTTAAGACGACGGAGAACTAGTCAGTTGGCATGGTGGTCTTGAAGCAATATGAAAGGCGCTTGTTTGATGTTTCTTAAACATTCATGAGATAATTGGCTCAAGATTGTATTGAAGCAATATGAAAGGCGCTTGTTTGATGTTTCTTAAACATTCATGAGATAATTGGCTCAAGATTGTAAGATGTTACTTAAGCATTCATGGCACAAATGTTTCTTAAACATTCATGAGATAATTGGCTCAAGATTGTAAGATGTTACTTAAGCATTCATGGCACAACTAGCTAAAAATTGTAGGTTATTGTATTAAGCTTACTAAGAACATGGTAGTCGGATTTCGGAACTGTATCGTGGTTAATAAGTGTTTTGTGTATTGTGTCTGTTTATAATCAACTTGCCAAATTCTCTATTTCTCGTCTTTGGAGGATACCGAGAGTTCATTATTTACCTTCTGTAGCAAAATTAGGATCCTTTTTCCTTCTTTGCCATGATACTGGATTCATTATGATTTGTTAACGTATTCTCTGACTTTTGTCAGGAGCGTGATATACATGGTCGCATATATGTGAATGAGCAGGGGATTAATGCTCAGGTATTTGTCCTAACCTTTCTTACTGGGGCTGCTAGTTTTACGCTTTGTATAGATACTTTGATTTTATATGACAGATAATATTTCTTGAATTAGGATTAATTAGAATTCAGTTGGTTAACTTAATGGAAACAAACATCTATTGAATACATTTCATGTTTTCTTCCTATCTGTTTCCATTATTCTATTTCTTTATAATATTTGTTTTTCCTTGTCTTTTATAATTCAACAGTAAACAAGGTATTCTTCTACAAAGAAGTCTCAGTTTAAGCTGGGTACGTTAAGGGGCAGAAATATATTTCTGCAGTTCAAAATATCCCGCTAAAATCAAATTTAGATACCTTGTTACAAATTCAGATCTTAGATAAATTCTAATAAGCTTTTAGAGTCATAAAACCCCATCAAATCTTAGATTTCATCTCACATTGAACTGCTGCATGAATTGACATTGGAAATGCAAGAATCACATTTCTTGTGTCATGGAGATGTACAGTTTTATCTCTTCTTTGGTAATCATAAAAATTTGGATCTTCCCTTGGATGTGTTTTATTTCAAGTGAAAATTACGCCAGTTTTCGGTCATAGTAAGTGCTCATGACTCATGTAACTTTGAAACTTTTTATAGCAGAAAATGGAAGCCACGTTTTCCTGGTGACCAGGTAGTTTAGTCGCATAAGCATATGAGTTTAACTACTTATTTTGTGTCACTTCGAATCCATTGAATGCAATTATGGTATCTCCTCTTGGTGGAATCTATTTGAGCCCTCTCAAGATTTTTCTGTGCATTTAAATAGTTTGGATTATTGTATTTGCAATGAATCTTATACTAATGATCATTGGAGAAAATATCAATTCAGAGCAACTCATCCAAGTCACCGACATCCGAGAAATTTTCAAGCTTTTTTGATGCTAAGTTCTGTTCTATGCAGTACAGTGGTCCAAGAAAAGATGCTCTGGCCTATGCCAAGTGGCTTAAAGATGATCATAAGTTTACTGATATCTTGGTCCAGACTTCACCATCTTTAAATGGACATGCTTTTCCACGTCTGAAACTGCGGTATAAACCTTCACTTGTACAGGCAAGCTATATTTACTGGCCTTTCAGTTTTTAATAGTTCCTTAGCAGAGAACTGGTCTGTTAGCAGATTGTAAATGATTGTTCTTCAGAGCCGGATTGAGATTGCCTCATATAAATTTTTTTTATTTATTTTTAATTTTTTGCTTCTGTTGGATGCTTTAACCAGAGAATAAATAACTTTTACTCTTTTTCTGAAACATCAAGTATAAGTTCCGTTCCAATGTTTATGTCAATTATACTACATTACCTTTTATTTTATTATACATATTTTTTATTGCAATTTCCAGACTCCCTAATGAACCTGTTGCATGTGCTATCAGTTTGAGGGAGGTACGTTACACCTTCCTTTGTTGGATCCTTCAATGCGAGCCACCCCACTGCCTCCGTCAGAATGGAGAAAAAGATTGGAAGTTGCAAATGAAGATGACATGCAATCAGAGAAGGAGAATTTTGTTCACAATAGGAAGTTTCTGCTTCTTGACGTTAGAAATGGTATGCCCATATTCAGTCAGTGAATTGAGTCACTAATCAATAAGTGCGATATTTATTTGATTCAGTTAAAGAAAATGTTCTTTTCTCTCTTCATTGGACCTTTCTGCCAAAGTTTGCTTGACCAAGAATTTGAACCTGCTATAGACGTGTATTCAGATTGATGTCCTGGTGCGCAAGAATTATGAACTTCTACATGTGAACCTGGATTTATTAACTGGAGCATATACAGTTGACTTATAATCATAGTGAAACATAGTTAAAATCTTATGATACCAAGATGGTATGTACTGGGTACATGGTGCTGATCTTTGAAAATCTTCAAAACTAGAAAATATAGGTTTTCCTGTTTCCAGAATCAATTATTTTAAGTGAAAAGCATTAATACGTGTGAGAAACATCAGGTGACTGTCCATACAATATATTAGGCTTATTGTGCGGATTTGAACATCTTAAATTGTTCTCTCAGATAATCTATGCAAGTTTCCTGTCGGTATGTGCTTTGATTGGATCCTGAGTCAAGGTCATAACTTCATTCTTTAATTACATACACTGTGTCTGTTTATATTCTAGTAGCTACAATTTACAAATGTTGAATTGTTGGGTTAAATCACGACTTTTAAACTGCTTGTTTAATAGTTCCCTTCTGCCGCTTGAGAACAATGTTGACGTAGCTGATTTCCTGAATTCTAAAAGCATAGAGAAAATTACCATTTTATGACATAAGATACTAATGGTCACTGTAATGTCTTACAAACAGGCTATGAATGGGATATTGGTCATTTTAAAGGAGCTCATCGACCTAATGTGGACTGCTTTAGAGGTACCTCATTTGGGTTCTCTGCTCAGGAGGTATGGTTATTACTTTGTTTTAAGATGCCGGTGAACTTTCTTTCTCTGTATGCAATCCGTATCACATTGAGTAAATGACCAAAAGTAAAATCACTCCACGTGTGGATGTAAATGGATTCTAATAATCAGATTCCCCTCGTTTGAGTTCGTTTCCTAGAGGCCGGGAAAGTAGATTGGTCTCCACCAAGCATCAACAGGAGATTTTATAATCACTTTATGCATGAGTAACTATAACCCAATATGCCTAATTTTTTGTTTAAATACAATCCAAAATATATAAATCAAAATGAACGGAATGAATCAAGTAAATTCATTGCATATAACGTAGTTTTGATGGTGCTTCCTTAGATTGATCTAAGGTGTCACTTTCTAACCTCATATTAGTTCAATGCTAGGTTGCATGGGTACGGGTACGGGTACAGGACACGACAAAATTTGTAAAAGGTAGGGTACGGGGACACAACTATGTATGTGCCTGTTATGTATATTTATATGTAACAAAATTAATGATTTACATTAAATCAATATTGTTTTTTTTATTTAGGTAAGATTAATATATAAGAAATAGATGTGAAGTGTAGAATATACATCCAAGAAGTGTATGAGGAGTGTTTTAAATTAAAACATGTATTATATAATTGAGTATGGGCGAATAAACGTATGCATATATTCAAGAAGTTTCCAAGAAGTTTGGGTACGGGTAAGGGTACGTGTCGGGTAAGCTTACAGCTCCCTAATAGCAGTACCTAGGTAACATAGGTTCAGTCAGGGTCTCTTCATGGTTGCATAACCTTAAAGTGTATAACCAATAACCAGTAAGGTAGATTTTTAATCCCCTCCAATTTTTACGGTAAATGCTGTTCTTTATAGTTTAGCCAGTGAAATTTTTGGCATCAGCTCAAAACGTAGGTGTTTGACATCCCTCCATTTTAGGGTCTATACTCAGTGAAAGAAGAGCACACATTAGGCTCTTTATTAAAAAAAAAAGAAATATTACAACCAAGTAAGACCTTGTGGTGTGTTTAAGACTTGAGCTCAGGGGTTGAGCTAAGGTTTGCTATTTGCATTCTATAGCAATATGCTAATGTACCCTGATAGAGATGAAAATGGATTTAGTTTGCTGATCAAATATGTATTGCAGCTGTTTGCTATAGTATATATGATCAAAGTTCACATTTGGTGTGTATGTGCTCACCTCTAGTTGCGTGTTTACACACACTTGTGTGGTTTTATTTCTTGGTCTTTGGATCATATCATTTTCTTTGTCATCTCATTTTACTTTTATCAAACATGCAGAATCAGGTTAGTGATTCAGATCCTTTAGCTGGAATTGATAAGGAGAATACAGATATTCTGATGTACTGTACAGGTGGCATTCGCTGTGATGTATATTCTACAATTCTAAGGTAAATATCATCAATTTAGCAGCTAGTCCGTTTATATATAACTTCAATATATGTTTTTTAACCTGTAATGCATTCTATTATCAGGCAAAGGGGCTTTCAAAACTTATACACCTTAAGTGGGGGTGTTTCTAATTATCTCCAGAGTGAAGGTTCAGATAAATGGATTGGAAATTTATTTGTATTTGACTCTCGTCTTTCCTTACCACCATCTACCTATAAGTCTGAGGAAAATGAAGAAAAAGGACTTGAAATTGGATATCAAAATGAGCAAATACTGGAAATGGTGTACCATAATAGTACTTTTGCGAGATGTTACATATGCAGTTCACGGCTTGTGGAGTTCAGGCACAGGAACTGTGCAAACCTTGATTGCAACCGCCTTTTCTTGTGAGTTGCTGGATTTGGGTAGCTTACCAATTAATTTTTTTTAAGAATAGGCTTCTTTCCTCCTTTCTGGTTTTTCTCATATGAGACCCAGAAATTCTATTATATTTTTACATTATGTCCTCAAAAAATTCATATTTTTATTTATAGCCTGAAGTCCTTTAAGTTTTTTTAGTTAAAACCCCAAGTTAAATATTGTCCAAATTTGTTATTGTTATGTGGTTACATATCAACGAATATTGGTAATTTCTCTTGACATCCTTGATAATTTTTGCCACAGTAATTAAACTCCTCTCCTCCGCTATCTCTCTTCTCTAGAACACTCCCTTTTTAGAGAAGATAGGAAGAGTAAGAGAGAAGAGGAGTTAAAACTAGTGTAGTATACACCTAATATAGGATATTTCATATTAGGACAAATAACCAACAATGATTAAGATGTAACCACGCCATAATTAGCAAATATGGGGGGGTTCAGGGGTCTAGTATAGAAATAGGATAGATTTCAGGGTCTAATGAGAAAAAACATGTCCTTTTTTTGGCATGAAAAGCAGAATGTTTAATTAGTAATTTTGTGCGTGATATTTCTTTCAGGTGCTGCACAAATTGTGTACAGGAATTAAGAGGATGTTGCTGTTCAGATTGCACAAATTCATCTAGACTTAGGCCTGTTCTACAAGGGAGCCAGAGATATCAAAAGTGGCATGTATACCGTGACGAGGTGTTTAGGCAGTAACTAAACCTTCTTAGTTCTTGTTACAATGCCGACGCTAGAAGAGTACTGGCTTGTTTTTTTATCGGATATGAACGATTATTAATCTTCAAACCTGAGTGAGAGATCGAGGCATTGAGGCATCAAGAACCAAGTTTCCCTGTGAGCTTGATCTACGATGCGTACTCTTTTAAGCAAGGCATTCTTTGTAGCAATTTAAGCTCATGTAAGAAGAGGTAAAATAGTTCACGAGCCTTGCATTTGCTGTGCAGTGTTCTCAATAGTTTAATTTCTTCTGTTGGTAACAACTAAGTGTGGTTCCCTTCTTGCAAGAAGAATGTGCAGATGACAACTGATGTTTATGTACAACTCTAGTGAGTTCATTTCCTTCATCTCATTCATTCATTATTGACCCACTTCATATTGACTCTCTGACTATATGAACACCTCAACTGCTTGTCAACTAAATCTGATGGTTTTTGTCAATCGCAATTTTTCCTCGGATAAAGATATTAATCAAGCTTGTTCAGGTTGCATGACACTTAACTCCTTGTATGGTCAGTTTTTTTTTCTTTTTTAGCAAAGTTCAGCACAAATTCTATCAGAATACCTCGCATTCTACGGTCACTACATGCATGATTTTATTAGTAAATCAGGGCGTAGAAGTCAGTTTTGATACCTGTCAACTCTCACTAATCTTCTGTTTGGTTCAGAACGCCCCACGCTGTGCAAAGCAGTCATAACTGAACAAATAGATCGTACTATGGTGAAGAAAGTTATGATCACCTTTTATCATATTTTACATTATTTTATTTTAATCCTTTTTCCCCTCCCAGGAAACATGGGCAAGGTTGGGTGTGGATTTGCTTGTGTATTGCTTGCCCTCCTACTCCATCTCTCACCATTACCATGACAACCTAAAAGAGGTTGTCTATTTCTCATTTTTTTAAGAACAATTTTTCAAAACAGCCCCATTTAAATTTTTTATTTTTAAAATCGACCTAATTTTTTTTATTTACCAAAACCGACCCTTTTTTTGATTAGTAGCCTAATCACCTTCCTAAACAGTCGGGGTTGCCAACCCTGACTATTTAGGACATAAATTTTTAGGGTTTAAGGCTTCTAATTAGGGTTTAACACCCTTCTAAATAGTCGGGGTTGCTAACCCCGACTGTTTAGGAGGGTGATTAGGCTGCTAATAAAAAACGGGTCGGTTTTGATAAATAAAAAAAAAGATCGATTTTAAAAACAAAAAAAATTAAATGAGGCTGTTTTGAAAAATTGTTTTTTTTTTTTTTATTTTTTTCTCCCTCTACCCACGCCAGAAAGAAGAAAAGTTGGTGATGGAAAGAGGAATCTGACAAAGGAGTTGGATGCAGTGATGGTCCCCGCAAATCTAAGGATCATCAATCCTAAGATCCTCCAGGATTTGATTGTGGTTGGAACAAAAGGGGACAACTTAGCCTTCATCATTATTAGCACAGTGCCTTTTCAACTGCTCCTCCTTTTTTCATTAGTTTTTAGCGTTAGCGTTTTCAAATTTATATAAAAAAAGATCTTTGCTACAGGGACCCAAAATATGGGACTAACAGGAGGGACAAGTGAGGTGTCCCCCTCTTATTGGATAATGAGTTGGTCATCATTAATGATGGTCAAATCACTATCTAATAGGAGGGGGACTGAGGTGTCCCCCCTATTGGTCTCGTACTTTAGGTCATTAAGGATTTTTTCATAAAAAAAAATATGTTACCCTATTAATGAACATGACGCTATTATGTCATTTAGCATCATATAATCGTTATCTACTCTCATATGGCTATTGTAATCCCCTTCTCATAGTTCTTGAGAACGAGAACCCTTGAATAAGTGCATAATTGAAGGGGTTTGGGGTTAAGTATACTGAAAACAGTATCAATAATAATCTAGGTTTATTGCATTGGTGATGATGGAGATAATATCGAGCAAGTCCTTACATTTGTTTTTGGCCATAGGGGAGCCGTATGAAGCCGATGTCTCGTGTACGGTTTTGAAATAGCGATATGAACGGCGATGTTATTATCGACTATATTGATTACAGTCCTAGAGATCTATCTACTGATGTCATGATTGATATTCATATGTTGCACTTGGGTATTTTCTCAAATATATTGATGCAATAGACCTATGCCCTTGAGCTTTGTCCGAAATTACACCTGTGGATATTGTTGGGTATATTTTCAGACGACATTATGACAACTGGAATTTCCTTCAGATGAGACAAACCCTGCAATGGCAAAGCCGTAAATAATTCAGGGGGGAAAAGGCCTATTTGAAACTTATTAGCACTGTTTTTTTTTCGCGCTACAGTAATCCCGGTTTAATTGCTATAGTGTTTTCCTGAATTTTTTGGATGGCTGCAGTATTCTGCTTATACTATAGTAATATTTTTTCAAAAATCCAGTGTCCAGTTTTATGTTTGCTACATTAATTATGCTATAATAATACTGCTGTGTTATTTACTGTAGTGAGAATAGTGAATTTTAGATTCTCCCATTTGTATAGAGTAGTAGATTTAAAAGATTCTAAAGGATCATACCTTAATTTTCTTTAGCAGTTCGAATCCTGTCATCTCCGGCATCCAATAATCCGTTATTATCATTTTTACATTTTGCTCCTGCAAAAATTACGAAATTTCATTATTTTCCATACGTATTATTATATAAGCAAAAAAAAAAAAAAACAAGTAAACAAAACATTACTCACCCTGTCCAGCATTTCCAGTGCTCTCTTCCCACTATCCACGGCAGTCACTGCAAAAAGGCAAAATTACAAAACTCATCCAAAACAACCACAAAAAAAGAAAGAAAACATTTCCTTTTTAAGAAAAAGCTACCTCTATATTTAGAACTGCGGAGCACGCGTGCGATCACCGCCCGGTCAACGGAGCTGTCGTCGAACCGCCAAGACATGCACTTCGGGGTCTGGGCCTCCGCCGGTAACGTCACGCCACCGACGGACGACATCACCGTTCACTGTTCCTGTCTTAACTTTTTTTGCAAACTTGTCGCAGCGAAGTATCCGTATTTGTAGGGGGGGGGGTCACGGGACTCGAGGTGGGGAGGTGAGTGGACCCGGGACGATTCGGATTCGGATTTTTACTGAAATCTGAAGGATCGGCTTAAGAGCATCTCCAACAGCTTCCCCAAAATTTTCTCCAAAATGGAGAAACAAAAGTCATATTCTCCAAATTATTTTTGCTCCAACTCCAACAGCTTCCCCATTTTGAAAAATCGCATTTATTACAATAATAAAGCTCTCCCCAAAAATTTGGAGAATGCTGCAGATTTGGGGAAGGCTCCCTATTTTTTCTACTCCTTCCCTATTTTGGGGAATGGTATGGGGAATCTGTTGGACCAAAAAAACAGCTCTATATTCCCCAAAATTGAGTATTTCAAGAAGATGGGGAAGCTGTTGGAGATGCTCTAAGATTTGGTGGGGGGCGAGATTTTGTGTAGGGAGGGTGAACGACTGACCTTTTGGCTTTCTTTAATGAATCTATATTGATTATAGGGACCCGATCCAGTTATATATAAAATGTGGGCAATAATTATTAATAAATACTGTGTTTCTTTTTTTTTTTATTATTTAAAGAAAAGATATATCAGGAGAATGCTAACTGTACTATTATTCTTGTACTATTTTTTAATTACCAATAACAAATACGTGGGGTCACTTCTTGGAATCTTCAATAAGAAATTGACGACCAATCATGGTCTCATGTGGTATCAAAAATATGAAAGTTCGGAAATTTTTTCGAAAGCAGCCTCTTTCCACATTTAATGCTAAAGAAAAACCTATTTTGAAGTTATTTTTAAAAACCGACTTGGTTTAAGCCTTGGCGCTGAAACCAAGTCGGTTTTGTGAAAAATAGTCCGAAACTTCACGAGAAGTTTAGCAAAGCTGCTAAACTTCATGGGAATTCAACTCCAGAGAAGTTTCAGAAGTTTTTTTTTTTTTAAAAACCGACCTGGTTTTAGCGCCAAGGTTGAAACTAGACCGGCATTTAATAATATGGTTGAAAGGAGTCTTTTTTGGGATTAAAAGTGAAAAGAGGTTGGTTTTGAAAATTTCTACATAAAAGTTGTGGTACATTTATCATTACTTGATATATAATGATAGTCTGGCTATAGGCATTTGTTGGTACGTCTATATATGATGTCATGGTGTTATGGTATGTATACGATTTTATATTGTTACTTCTTAACGAAAAGGGTTTTCAATATTAGTCCCCCATATTTTTTGGTATTTTCAAATTAGTCTTTGAATCTTTTAAGTGTTTTGAGGTCAGTCACACAATCACCAAAGTTGTTCAATACTTTTTGGAATTAGTGGTTAACAAGGCACCGGTGATTACCAAAATACCTAATGAAAAAAGATCCCTCCAATTTGTGCTCCGTGTGAAATCTTGTTGTTCCTTTGAAGGTTTCTGATAGATTGATTTTTGCTGTTTAGATTTGGGATTAAATGAATATATAACTGGCATTGTAAAATAAAAATGTGAAAGAAGATGAGATACTTTCTTAATTTCAACCACTATCTAACTAGAAGGACTAATTTCAAAACACTTCAAAGGTTTAGAATACTAGCTTCAAAATAGTGGAGTGAAAGAATCGTACCATTCTAAACATGGCCAGAAGCATGTGGAAAAGCAAGTACCTGCCGAAGACTTACTGGGCCGAAGCCGTGGATTGTGTTGTTTACCTCCTCAACCATTGTCCAACAAAGAGCGTTAAGTTCAAGACACCACTGGAGACCTGGAGCAACATCAAGCCAAGCGTCAACCACCTGAAGGTGTTTGGGTGCATCGCATAAGCACACATCCCGGAACAGAAAAAAGAAGCTGGATGATCAAGGAGAAAAGTGCATATTCATTGGTTACGAGAGGATGACAAAAACATATAAGCTCTACAATCCAGTTACAAAGAAGATGATCATTTCAAGAGACGTGGAGTTCGATGAAGAAAATTATTGAAAATGAACCGATGAAGACAAAAATATTAAAGGTATGTTCTTTGAAGATAATGATGATGACTTGCACGAGGTTGGAAGACCATAACAAAGTCCACTAAATAGTCCAGCTCCATCAACCCCAACATCGACGCCGACATAATCACCATCCAGCTTAAGTGAAGGAAGCTCTTCAGGGGGAGCAACAAGGAGGACGAGAAGCCTAAGAGATCTGTACGGCGATACAAAACTTGTCGAGATGATGGAGGACTACACACTATTCTGCCTGTTTACAGAATGTGATCTGGTCAGCTATGAAGAAGCTATTCTTGAAGACAAGTGGAGAAAAGCCAAAAATGACGAGATCGGGGCAATCAAGAGAAATGACACATGGGAGCTCACTACCTTACCTGAAGGCCATAAACCCATTGGAGTAAAGTGGATGTATAAGACAAAGACAAATCAAGATGGTGGAATCGAGAAGTACAAGGCCAGGCTTGTTGCAAAGGGCTATAGTCAGCGAGAAGGAGTTGACTATGAAGAAGTGTTCGCACCAGTCGCGAGGATCGACACCATTCGACTTATTATCACATTGGCAACACAGAACCGGTGGAAGATCTACCAGATGAACATGAAGTCTGCTATGTTTAGAATGAGTCTGATGAAGGAACTACAACACCAACAGGTACTCACCGAAATCACAACAGATAGCCAATCCCCATCAAACACCGATGATGAAAGTTACAATCTGACGACTTCCAGAAGGCTATAATTTGAAGACTTTCACATAGATCGATGAATGTTACAATCTGACGACCTTCATAACAACCGATGAAAAGCTCTAATCAACAGCCTTCACAATCAACATCGGGAGTTACACGCGGGTCGGCGGGCTGTTTCGTGCAGGTTTGACCCCCGGACGCGTTTTTCGACGATTTTGAGCGGTTTTCTCGGGATTTATCTATTCCAGAGGTTCTTAACTGCCTAGATATCATCTACAAACGTGGTTAGACCGTTATTGACTGAAGATAAGGCCAAATCACTTATTCTTATCCAAAAACCTCCCAACCGAAGCCTATAAATACAGACCTAGGGGGTTATTTCAGCAGGGGGGAGGGGATTAATTATCAAGAGGAGGAGGTGCTGCCGGATTGAGGAGTCAAAGGAGCACGGATTTCGGCGAGGGTTGACGGATCTTGGCGAGTTCTTCGGCATAAAGAAGGAGAGTTCGAGAGGTCTGACGCCCGTTCCCATCCGTTCCTCGAGATTAGGCTTGGTCTTACTCTCGAGAAGAGCTACTGATTTCGCTTGGTCGATCTCAGTGTTTCAAATCAAATACTTCTTTGGTGAAGGCGAAGCTCTGCCGAATTTTCCATCAACCGGATCAAGATCAAAGACGGTCCACAGATATCAAAATCCCCGGCACAAGCAAAGATCCCACGCAAGCAGAAGACCGATAAACGATCTCTGCGTTTGTTTGATGAAAATTGTATTTTTCGTTTTCATTGTGTAAAAGTCTTATAAAAAGACTATCTTTTTGTTTTCATTGTAACGACCAAAGTTGTAATGAATACCACAATGAATACAATAATTTTCGACGAAAACAAACACAAACACATCCCCTCTCAATTATTTTGACGATCAACCAAATCAAACCCCAACCCATTACTCCTCACCAAACTCTCTCTATACGTGTACCTCAACAACTCCACCATAATATCCAAATACCTCTTCTCCGTCGTAATGACTAGCGTCGTCGCCTATCTCATTCAACTCGTTCACCATCGCCGACCTGATGGTCGCCATCTCTACGTCAAACTTTATAGTGTAGGTGGTGCACCATTGAGGTAGGGAGGCTTCGTAACACGATGTGGGTGGTGTAACGTTAGAGGCGGAGCGTCGACTGAAGGCTGATGTGGCATTTTAAAGATTGAGAGCTGCAAGGGTTGGGCGTGGTGTTCAGTCATTAGGTCGAACATGTGACATGCATTTGGGTGAAGTGTATTGTGGTGGCGATGATAAATCAGCGAGGTTGGAGCTAAGGTTGTCTGGACTTAGCTTGGATAGGGGAAGGGGCTGCTGTATGCTTATAGGAGTTGGATCTGGAGTGGGTTGGGGAGTTGGCGGCTTCGTTACCAGGGAGATGTCTTCGTCGTCGATGTCGTCGTTGATGTCCGGAGCTGAGAACAACGGCGGAGTCGTTGGCGATGTCGTCGTCGGCCATTAGAAAAACCCCAACAAGCGGCGGATCTCGGCGCGGGAGAGGGAGCCGGCGCCACCACGTGATCGGAGAGGAGGAGGAGGAGGAGGGGAGAGTTGAGGGAGGGGCAGAGGGGGAGTGAAGGAGGAGACGAAGAAAGAAGGAAGGCTGTTGAGGGTAAAGTTGAGATTTTGATGTAAAATGCATTGAAACTTGGGGAGAGGTGAGCTGGAGGGGTTGGGATACAAATTTTACAAAAATTGTGGGGTACATCACATAAGTAAAAGTAGAAGGAGCTGAATCATATTGATTTTTAAAATTTGAGGCTTGGAAGCAATTTTCCCAAATTTGATTAACCTTTTTATACTAACCTTAATATTTTATATCACTTAGGAAACAACATGACAAAATTTAATTAACCTTTTTATACTAACCCTTTACGTTTTATTATATATTATATTGAAGATAATAAATTGCCAATTGACAATCAGTAACTTAATGAAGAGGCTTGGACACAATGACCTAATACTTGTAGAAGACATAATTCCTAATTTACTACATATGACGGTAAATACAAGTTAAACATTTAATTAAATTTCAAGGTAACAATAAAAAAGACAATGCAAACACGAGGTAGTCCAACCTCACTACCACTTGAATTGCAAATAATTCTTAGCTTGTAAACTCTATTACAATCAGTCCTAAAAATTCCAAACTTTTATATTAAAGTCTTTTGCTATTGGGTTTGAAGAAAGATGGGCCTGCAAAAGATGGGCCTTTGTTATGGCTTTTCAAAAAGCGGAACCGACATGCTTGAAAATAATATCGCTCGACTACAAATGTTTTTACTTTCAAATAAACGAGAACTCACGAGTCTCTACGAATTTCATAGTTTTTGTTCAAATCCATATTCCTCGGAAACAAACAGGAACCTTATAAAAGTTTGGAGAAGTTGCAAAATTTTAGAATTTACTACATTGTCAGAAATCCAAAATCCAAAATATTCCAAGGGGGTGTTTGTTTCAAATCCTATAATTTTAGGATATGGTTTTCACCATGGGATTTGAAATCCATATGTTTTTTTAACATGAGTTGGGATTTCTAAAATATTGTTTGTTTCATCAATATTTTGGGATATGTATAATCCTATAATTTATATTTTGTTTGTTTCAAACTCAAACTGTAGCATTATAAATTTTAGAATTTAAAATTTAGCCTAAATTCTATCTCAAAGAGGGGATTCCACAAATGCTATAATATATTAGTTTTTCATTATTTTGGTATTCAATATCCCAAAATTTATTTTGAACCGGACAAAGGTTATGAAATACATAAACTAAAAAAAACCCATTTTTTCATCCTAAAATTTATAATCTATTTTATATCCCTAAACAAAAGTTGAAACTCTTTTATTATACTCTTAAAAAATATCATGTTTCCCAAAGGGATATGCTTTGATGTAACGACACACAAACGTACACAGTACACACTGACCCTCACTCCAAGGGATCCCATATCTTCTTAGATATCGCCAAAGTCCAGTACACACAGTACACAATAATTATTAAATATTAATAAGATGGTAAAGCCTTTTTTTTTTTACTCATATTAGTCGCTTGCATCTTTAATATTTTAAACCCAGTCACTTTTAGACGTTGATATTTCTGTTAGGCACCGCAATTCTTATAATTTAGTACTAGCGATAATGATAAGTGAGAGTAATTTAAAGCAGACTTATGAGAATTGAAGTGCCTAGTAGTAAAATATCTAATGATTTGAGAGACTACTTTTAGGGTGGCACCAGGGGCACACCCCCAACCACAACTCTAACCACACCCCCTCTCATTTGCTACAGTGCACCGGGCCCCACACGAGATTTTAAAAATTTAAAATCCCATGCGGGGGCTAATGCAGTGTAGCAAATGAGAGGGGGTGTGGTTCCCTACTTTTAAACAATATTTAAGAATTGGAGGTCCTAATAGCAGTTTCAATGACCGGGTAGACTAAAAACCGAATAGTAAAAAATTGCACCTCAAAGAAAATTGCACCCAAAAAACTCAAAAATAAAAAAAGGAGAGAAAAAAAGTAGAAGAAACAGAACATGAAAAATGGCACCTTTTCTTTCATTTCCCATTAATTACAAGAAAGTCAAAATCCCCGCGTCCTCTAAACTTCATTAACCAAATGAAAAACTATATAACCACCCAAATCTCTCTACTTATCTCTATTTATATATACCAAGTCTTATTATAGAGAATAAGAAGTATCTTGGGTTGTAAGATAGCTCTTGGGAAATATCCCTTGCCCGGGGGCAAGTATATTTAACGGGTCGAACCGGGTTTTATGGGTTGCAAACCGGTCCCATTTTGGCCAATGGGCCGGGGACGGATGGTGGGCTAGATACTGCTTTGCCCCGATGTTTGGCCTGCTTGCAACCTCCGCGATGTGGCGGTTGCGGCGAAGGAGGTCCTGGAGGCAAGCCGGAGAGCACGTATTCGGGTTAGCGGATCTAAGTATACCCACTACGTATACGACCCGATCAAACTTGCCGGACTCCGGCAGCACAGCCGACGAGTTTGCATTCCACCTGTGACATAAATGCAATATTAGGCAACATAAAATTTCACGGTTATCAATCAAAACCGCATTACGATCCGCTCTTAGATGTTTCTGACCGTGAAGTCATTTTTTATGGATCGAAACCTGAACTATATATTTTTTCCCCGGAGGTGACACGTCTGCTGAAATCTGAAACCGATTTTGCTTTGGTGTTATCTTAAAAAGACCAGTAATGTGAGACAATGAAGCCTAATATATAGTTACAATTTTGTACTAGGTACAAGTAAGGACCAGGGCAATAAAGCTGAGGACAGTGAAGTGGAATATTAAATCTGGACCATGCATGATGCTTCAGCATAGCAATAAAGCTGAAGTCAAGTCAGTGTGCTGTTATTGTTCATGATCTTCTGATCACATGTACAACTTCACAAAAAGGCTGGTCAGCCTCTGAGACACTG